GTTCAATCCCCTCAGTTCTGACTACCTTCCCTCTCTTTGTTACCATCCGACTACACTTCTCCAGCCCGAACGACATTCCAATGTCATTGCTGTATAGCCTGGTAGTGTGGATCAGTGAATCGATGTCTCGTTCACTCTTGGCATACAGCTTGATGTCATCCATGTACAGGAGGTGGCTGCCAACTGCTCCGTTCCGTAGTCGGTATCCGTAGCCAGTCTTGTTAATGATCTCACTGAGGGGGTTCAGGCCTATGCAGAACAGCAGTGGGGACAGAGCATCTCCTTGGTAGATCCCACACTTGATGGTGACTTGTGTTATGGGCTTGGAGTTGGCCTCTAGTGTTGTACGCCACATCCCCATTGAGTTCCTGATGAAGGCTCTTAGGGTCCCATTGATCTTGTACAATTCTAGGCATTCCAGTATCCAGCTGTGGGGCATTGAGTCATAGGCCTTCTTGTAATCAATCCAGGCAGTGAACAGGTTGGTTAGTCTGGTCTTGCAGTCTCGGCTGACTGTTCTGTCTACCAGTAGCTGGTGCCTTGCGCCTCTGGTATTCTTGTATTCTTTCTGTGTCCCGCTCATGTATTGACCCATGTGCCTGTTCATCATATATATATATATATATATTTACAGAGGCAGTCTTGCTTGGTTGTAACCATACTTCTGTGACCAAAACTACTCATGGGTAATTTTAGAGGCAATCTATTTATGCGGAAAGCTTGTGAAACCACAACAAAGACTGTGAGAAATGCACACAATGCTTGGTAGACGAGTGGTGCACACAAGAAAATACTTTTTTGTATTTTCAAAGCATGTGATTATTACCCTTTTCTGGAGGTTCTTTTCAATCACACAAGCAACACTACAGTGTTTGACGTTACATTTCTGGACATTCAACCCATTATGTGATGTCCGTGTGGCCATGATGTGGTTCTATTGTGCTTTGAAAATAAGGCAGTTTGGACCATTTTTCTAAGCTGTAATACAACAAGCTAAACACAACATGTCCTAGCAAACGATTTGTCTGTGTTATTTCATATGTTTGTCTGTTTTGGTTCGCCTAAAGTTAGAACACCCCATATGGCAGAATTAGATGCATCTACCATAGACTCTGCTGTATCCAGATTTTGTAATGACCGTCTCCTTATCATTGTTTATTTCGACTCATTAACTGAGGGGCATTTTCTTGCTTAAATTCTGTGGGATGTAAGCTTACCAACAGCTGACTTTCCTTCATGCAACTTTAGCAACCCCACTACACTGTGGCACCTCTTTATTTTACACTGGTGGAAATCAGAAGACACATAAGTACCAAATTATTTTAGGTTGCATTTTACTGCTCTTCTTTTACTGCCGTTCTTCTGGCCTCATTTTATGTCAAAGGTCTGTAACTTCAATCTTTCCAGGGCAATATTATTTTATGAAACTTACATAAAACCCTGTAGTGTATCCAGAAAGGTCTTTAATCTAGATAAAGCCATTAGACACCACATCATATTCAGGCATCTTATCACAATGTGCGGTCAAAGGTAACCAGTGGACGATTAGCTTAAAGCTGCCAAATTCAATTCAGTTCTGAGAACAGGAATGATAAATGATGGGCTGTAATTTGGTTTTATCTGATTACACTGCACATCACTTTTTATTGATGTTGTAATTAAAATGGACACCTTACCCGAATGTATTTCACTGACTTGAATACCATAACAAGTTATATTACACCCTAGAAGCGTTTTATAAACCCATTCAATTCAATTAAACTCAACTTTATTTTA